GAGGTTGGTGAGTCCCAGTGGAGGTGAGTGAGTCCCAGTGGAGGTGAGTGAGTCCCAGTGGAGGTTGGTGAGTCCCAGTGGAGGTGAGTGAGTCCCAGTGGAGGTGAGTGAGTCCCAGTGGATGTTAGTGAGTCCCAGTGGAGGTTGGTGAGTCCCAGTGGAGGTTAGTGAGTCCCAGTGGATGTTAGTGAGTCCCAGTGGAGGTTAGTGAGTCCCAGTGGATGTTAGTGAGTCCCAGTGGAGGTTAGTGAGTCCCAGTGGAGGTGAGTCAGTCCCAGTGGAGGTTGGTGAGTCCCAGTGGAGGTGAGTGAGTCCCAGTGGAGGTGAGTGAGTCCCAGTGGAGGTGAGTGAGTCCCAGTGGATGTTAGTGAGTCCCAGTGGAGGTTGGTGAGTCCCAGTGGAGGTTAGTGAGTCCCAGTGGATGTTAGTGAGTCCCAGTGGAGGTTAGTGAGTCCCAGTGGATGTTAGTGAGTCCCAGTGGAGGTTAGTGAGTCCCAGTGGAGGTGAGTCAGTCCCAGTGGAGGTTAGTCCCAATGGAGGTTTACCTGCAGTGTCACAGTGTGACCCAGTGTTTTGATTGGCTGTGGTGTTTCTGTGCGGAACAGGGTGGAGCTCCACACTGACTCCACCCTTCAGGTCCAAGCTGATTGGAGGTTCCACACTCTGACACGCCCACTGCTACTGCACACCTACAGACAGGTAACACACACCCACAGACAGGTAACACACACACCCACAGACAGGTAACACACACCCACAGACAGGTAAGATCAGACAGAATATATGAATATATATGATGACGTGTTGTAGAGTTAAAACGGATAAACTGCATTCTCTCTATCTCTTTATCTCTCTCTCTCTCTCTCTCTCTCTGTATGTTCACAGGCTCTCTCGCCCTCAGTCCTGTCTGTCTCTGAGCTTTTGGACTGCAGGTAAACTGATTGATCTCTGATTGACTCCCAGAACTCATATCAATATTTCAGTTTGTCATAAAGTCGTCGTTTGCAGAGTCTGATATCAACTGCTTAGTTAAATCAAACATAAACAAACTGATGATGAACACAATCTGACGCCATATTGTTAACGAGTCAGTGGGTTTAATGCAGTTTAGATCTGTTTTTATCTGTTAAACACTGATGTGTCGTATAATAGAAGTATAATCTCTTGTTGTGTGATTGTCTTATTTTGCTTATTATTGTTTTTCTTTTTGCGTACATTTTTGGATTGTTATAACTCATTTTTACAGACAGACATGATTCAAATATTACTTTTCTTTTTGATATCTGGTACAGGTTTGGTTAGTGAGATATTAATATTTTACTGTAATTTGAATGGCCTGCCAATGGTAGTTGTATACACGCATCAGAATCTCAAATACTATACATGTTAAGTCCTAACACCTGCTACACGGGGACACCATGGAGATGTGCTAGACATGTTAAAGTATGTTTTCAATGTGTGAGCTTTGTATAAATTACATGCAACATTTCATACAATTCTACTGACAATAGCTCCACAATAGTATTCAGTTACAGAGGACAGGATATGTACAGGACAGAGGTCAGTGCTTTAGATACAGGAGAAAGAGGTCAGTGCTTAAGATACAAGAGAAAGAGGTCAGTGGTGTAGATACAGGTCAGAGGTCTGTACTGTGTATTTGATTGAAAAAAAACTAACAACAATAATATTATTGACATATAGCTCAGTGCTTTAGATACAGGGCAGAGGTCTATTTGATTAATATAATAGTAACAACAATAATATTATTGGCATTTCATTGATGTTTGAGTCACTGAGGGTTTGTTGTGATGTGACTCTTTTGATTGGTTGTTGGTTCAGGTAGATTATTCACCTGTCTGATGCTCACCTGTCTGACTGTGATGGCCCAAGCCACACAGGGTAACAGCCAGCAATGAGGTCTGTCCTGGTGGAAGAAAGGCGTGGCCAAGGGTGGAGGATGGTTATATCCTGTGGCCTACCAATCAAGCCGTACCATGTGCTGCCATGTTGGAGGGGGATTTTGGGTTTAGTTTGCTTTACTTGTAGTAGTTGTAGTTGGCATCCATTTTGTTTTCACCTTGTGGGTAAATTGGTTTGGCCAAGCCACTATATATGTTCCCTTGTGTCTCATTCAGGCAGGTCAGTTTGTTTAGTTCATATTCTGTCTGTTGTATGCTGTTTTGAGTATAGTTATATTTTGTTGACCTCTTTTATAGACCTAAGATGTTAAATTCTTGGTTTCTATTGTTTGGTATTTTTGGGTAAATAAAAACCCCTATTTTTCAACAAACTCCTGGTTTTCCTCATTGCTTGACTGTTTGGTCCCTGACACTGACGCTCACCTGTCCGACGCTCACCTGTCCGACGCTCACCTGTCCAGCTTGAATATCTTTATTAACCCTCTCATTGATCTCTGTGTTCAGGTCAGAGTTGGTGTGTTTTCAGGCTCTGGTTTCTGACAGGATCAGTCTGAACGACAGGACGAGGGACTCTGGAGACACACACACAGGTAGGTACACAAACAGACACACAGGTGCACACACACAAGTACACACAGGTAGAGAGGGTGCTATGAGGACCGAGTCGTGCAGGTCTCATCCCTCGGTGGCGTCCACAGCAGATAAAGTCTGTTTGTATTTCAAGTTTATTAGACTGATCACAGCTGGGTGAAACTACTGTTGATGAAGCTGTTGATGAAGCTGTTGATGAAACGAGTGATTCCTAATAATGTTGCCTAAACGGAGCGCATATAAAGTAAATAGGGTAACACTTTATAATGAGTACACACTATTAAGCATTAGTTAAGCATGAATAAATAATGAAATCGTCATTTATAACGCATGAATACACATGAGTATGTAGTTTATAAACAGTTAAAAAATGTTTATTCATCATTGATAAGCACATTAGTTATGGATTAGTAAATACTGAATTCATTTATAAAGCATGATTCTGCTGTAAATAGTCATTACTATGTGGTTTATAATCAGTTATAAATGTTTTACTCTTCATTGTACTGTACATTTCATGCACTTGCACATCCACTATTCAGACATGTATTAATGATTAGTAACTGTGTTAGCAGATGTTCTATAAAAACTCACACATTAATTTCCAATGGATGTCCTATAAACAGTTATTAATGCAGGAATTCATGAATTGAGGCAGTTACGAAGCACTTATTCAATTCAATTCAATTTTATTTGTATAGCGCCAATTCATAACAGAAGTTATCTCAGGACACTTTTCAAATAGAGCAGGTCTAGACCGAACTCTTTAAAACATTATTTACAGAGACCCAACAGTACCACCATGAGCAAGACCTTGGAGACAAGGGCAAGGGAAACACTGCCTGTTAAAAGGCAGAAACCTAGGACAGATCCTCCGGCTCTAGGTGGGTGGTCGTCTGTCTCGACCAGTTGGGGTGAGAGAGAGAGAGAGAGAGGCAGAGAGAGAGAGAGAGCGAGAGAGAGAGAGAGCGAGAGACAGACAGACAGACAGGTGCACAGCAACAACACGATTGGCAATGGCAGTCAAGCAGGACCATGGCAGGAGGCTCCACCAGGATCTATAAGAACCTGCGAGACGAGAAAGCACAAGAACTCCGGGGAAGAAGTGAAGTTAGTAACATGCATTAATGGGACATGAATGAGTGCAGAAAGAGAGAGGAAGGGAGGAGCTCAGTGCACCATGGGAAATCCCCCGATAGTCTAGGCCTATAGCAGCATAACTAAGGGATGGTTCAGGACTCACCTGATCCAGCCCTAACTATAAGCTTTATCAAAGAGGAATGTCTTAAGCCTACTCTTGAATGTGGTGAGGGTGTCTGCCTCCCAAACCACAACTGGAAGCTGGTTCCACAGGAGAGGAGCTTGGTAACTGAAGGCTCTGGCTCCTGTTCTACTTTTAGAGACTATAGGAACCACAAGTAGCCCAGCATTCAGAGAACGTAGTGTTCTAGAGGGGTAATAGGGTACTATGAGCTCTTTAAGATATGAAGGGGCCTGACCATGAAGAGCTTTATAGGTGAGGAGGATTTTAAATTCAATTCTACATTTTATAGGGAGCCAATGCAGAGTAGCTAGTACAGGAGAGATGTGATCTCTTTTTCTAGTTCCTGTCAGTACTCGTGCTGCAGCGTTCTGAATTAATTGGAGCGTTTTAATGGACTTATTGGGGCAACCTGATAATAAAGAGTTGCAGTAATCCAGCCTTGAAGTAACAAATGCATGGATTAGTTTTTCTGCATCTGTCTGTGATAGTATGTGTCTAATTTTTGTAATTTTACGTTGCATTAGTTTCCTATGTTTTAATAATTTCCTTTTTATAGGAGCGATAGAGTCTAATATCAATTTCGAAGGGACTAAAGTTATTATAGGACTCTGTTATATTCAGACATGGCATTGAATTAAACTGAAGGAATCTCCTCCTTAAATTTAGCTACAGCACTGTCAGATAGACATCTGCTGTAGGAAGTATTGCCTAATGGCTTATAATCTAATAATATGAATTCCAATGTGACCAGTGATGACATGTAGAGCCGCATGTCGTCATTCCACCGCTGGCTGTCGAGGTGGTGTCCAGCAAATTATGTGGGCTTCATTGATAACTGGAAGCCTTTTTGGGGGAACCTGGTCTGATTAGGAGAGACGGCATCCATCCCACTTTGGATGGAGCGGCTCTCTTATCTAGAAATATGGCGAAGTTTATTTCTAAAACCTGACAGTCCAGAGTTAGGACCAGGAAGCAGAGCTGCTGTCTTACACATTTCTCTGCTCTTTCTTTAGAACAGTCACCCACCCAAAACCCCATAGAGACTGTGTCTGTCGGTCAAGAGTGTGATTAAAACAATGAGTTGGTTTATTTACACTCTGACAGAAGCCAATTGAGTCTATTAATGATATAAATGCGTTACTAAGGCTGTCATTGTTAACATCCACATGAATATTAAAATCACCTACAATAATTACTTTATCTGATTTAAGGACTAAACTTGATAGAAACTCTGAGAATTCAGATATAAAATCAGAGTACGGTCCAGGAGCGCGGTACACTATAACAAATAGAACTGGCTGCAGTGTTTTCCAGTTTGGGTGAGAAAGACTAAGAACAAGGCTTTCAAATGAATTATAATTTAGTATAGGTTTAGGGTCCATTAAAACGCTCGAATCATATATGTCTGCCACTCCACCTCCTCGGCCTGTACCTCGAGGAATGTGAGTATTAATATGACTGGGGGGTGTGGATTCATTTAGGCTAACATACTCCTCGTGGGACAACCAGGTCTCAGTAAGACAAAGTAAATCAATATCATAATCTGATATTAATTCATTCACTAAAACAGCTTTAGAGGACAGATACCTGATATTTAACAGCCCACATTTCATTCTCTTATTTTTGTGTGTGTGTTTCTGTCTGTGTGTGTCTGTGTGTCTGTGTGTGTGTGTGTGTGTGTGTGTGTGTGTGTGTGTGTGTGTGTGTGTGTGTGTGTGTGTGTGTGTGTGTGTTGACCAAACTGACCAAACTGGGAGGAGTCTCCAGGTGTACCTGGACTTAAGCTACACCCCCTTATCCACCTGGCCTGTTGCCTGGCAACACACTGCTGCTGTCTGTTTTCCAGATAAGGTTGTCGAGGTAACACACACACACACACACACACACACACACACACACACAGTTGATTAAAGTGAGTGAGTGAGAGTGTGTGTGTGTGTGTGTGTGTGTGTGTGTGTGTGTGTGTGTTAATGTGTTACTAATATAACTGAGAGCATACACTCAATATCATGTTGGAATAATGGAGCTATGAAGCAGGAGCTGGTGTAGCTGGTCTTTATTCTCCACAGCTTGAACACTGTAGGCCGTAACCAACGGCAACACAATAAAAACAGACACATCTATCACTATCAACATTAGCTCGCCAACGTCTCCCCCCAACACACACACACCGGAGCCCCGAGCTGAACACACTCCCCCCCACAGGTCCTCTGACACTCCCAGGTGATATCTCACACCTATCATTGCCATGGCAACTGCCCTGACTGACAGGCTATTGATTGATTACACAGCCCGTTACAATGTGATTATTAACTATTGATTGATTACACAGCCCGTTACAATGTGATTATTAACTATTGATTGATTACACAGCCCGTTATAATGTGATTATTAACTATTGATTGATTACACAGCCCGTTACAATGTGATTATTAACTATTGATTGATTACACAGCCCGTTATAATGTGATTATTAACTATTGATTGATTACACAGCCCGTTACAATGTGATTATTAACTATTGATTGATTACACAGCCCGTTACAATGTGATTATTAACTATTGATTGATTACACAGTCCGTTACAATGTGATTATTAACTATTGATTGATTACACAGCCCGTTACAATGTGATTATTAACTATTGATTGATTACACAGTCCGTTACAATGTGATTATTAACTATTGATTGATTACACAGCCCGTTATAATGTGATTATTAACTATTGATTGATTACACAGCCCGTTACAATGTGATTATTAACTATTGATTGATTACACAGCCCGTTATAATGTGATTATTAACTATTGATTGATTACACAGCCCGTTACAATGTGATTATTAACTATTGATTGATTACACAGCCCGTTACAATGTGATTATTAACTATTGATTGATTACACAGTCCGTTACAATGTGATTATTAACTATTGATTGATTACACAGCCCTTTACAATGTGATTATTAACTATTGATTGATTACACAGTCCGTTACAATGTGATTATTAACTATTGATTGATTAAACTAGTACAGTTACTCAGTCCATCAGCTGAAATGTTTTATTTATTTAAACAATGTCTCATTAATCTGTAAGATCTCATCCATCCAACCTTCATCAGTAACTGGAGGTCTAACATCAGTCCCATTACCCATAATGCTGCTGTCACACAGTCAGTACGACGCGCGCCATCAGACGGTGGAACTGCTGACTCATCACTCGTCTTATACTAACAAACTTTATTTAAAACCTTAATCAGTTAAAGTTAATATCAGCTGTGTTGATCTCTGTGTTTGTCCCATCAGCGCTGTCGGTCCCCCTCCTCCCATGATGCATCTGGGTGTGTGGGCAACGAGCACGGAACAGAGGTGCATTCTGGGTCAGATCAAAGGTCATGTGATGTGTTTCCTGTTCCTGCAGCTACAGTGGAGCTGCTCGCTGTGTGGGAGTCTCTAAGTACAGGTACCTCACCCACAGAGGGTACGGGTCTTTATTTACCTCACCCACAGAGGGTACGGGTCTTTATTTACCTCACCCACAGAGGGTACGGGTCTTATTTACCTCACCCACAGAGGGTACGGGTCTTTATTTACCTCACCCACAGAGGGTACGGGTCTTTATTTACCTCACCCACAGAGGGTACAGGTCTTATTTACCTCACCCACAGAGGGTACGGGTCTTTATTTACCTCACCCACAGAGGGTACGGGTCTTATTTACCTCACCCACAGAGGGTACAGGTCTTATTTACCTCACCCACAGAGGGTACGGGTCTTTATTTACCTCACCCACAGAGGGTACGGGTCTTTATTTACCTCACCCACAGAGGGTACGGGTCTTTATTTACCTCACCCACAGAGGGTACGGGTCTTATTTACCTCACCCACAGAGGGTACGGGTCTTTATTTACCTCACCCACAGAGGGTACGGGTCTTATTTACCTCACCCACAGAGGGTACGGGTCTTTATTTACCTCACCCACAGAGGGTACAGGTCTTATTTACCTCACCCACAGAGGGTACGGGTCTTTATTTACCTCACCCACAGAGGGTACGCGTTTTTATTTACCTCACCCACAGAGGGTACGGGTCTTTATTTACCTCACCCACAGAGGGTACGGGTCTTTATTTACCTCACCCACAGAGGATACGGGTCTTTATTTACCTCACCCACAGAGGGTACGGGTCTTTATTTACCTCACCCACAGAGGGTACGGGTCTTTATTTACCTCACCCACAGAGGGTACGGGTCTTTATTTACCTCACCCACAGAGGGTACAGGTCTTATTTACCTCACCCACAGAGGGTACGGGTCTTTATTTACCTCACCCACAGAGGGTACGGGTCTTTATTTACCTCACCCACAGAGGGTACGGGTCTTATTTACCTCACCCACAGAGGGTACGGGTCTTTATTTACCTCACCCACAGAGGGTACGGGTCTTTATTTACCTCACCCACAGAGGGTACAGGTCTTATTTACCTCACCCACAGAGGGTACAGGTCTTATTTACCTCACCCACAGAGGGTACGGGTCTTTATTTACCTCACCCACAGAGGGTACGGGTCTTATTTACCTCACCCACAGAGGGTACGGGTCTTTATTTACCTCACCCACAGAGGGTACGGGTCTTATTTACCTCACCCACAGAGGGTACGGGTCTTATTTACCTCACCCACAGAGGGTACAGGTCTTATTTACCTCACCCACAGAGGGTACGGGTCTTTATTTACCTCACCCACAGAGGGTACGGGTCTTTATTTACCTCACCCACAGAGGGTATGGGTCTTTAATTACCTCACCCACAGAGGGTACTGGTCTTATTTACCTCACCCACAGAGGGTACAGGTCTTATTTAACTCACCCACCAGTATTAATGGTATTATATAATAGATTATATACTTTATGGATTATATATTGTATTATTGTTGTCAGTGAAACACTGTGTATGTCTGTTTAAAATAAATAAATAAAAGGAAATATGGTTTATTAGTAATGCATTTATATCATTAATAGACTCAATTGGCTTCTGTCAGAGTGTAAATAAACCAACTCATTGTTTTAATCACACTCTTGACCTTGTTCTATCATATGGCATTGATATTGAACATTTAATAGTCTTCCCACATAATCCTTTCCTATCTAACCATTATTTAATAACTTTTGAATTCATACTATTAGATTATAAGCCATTAGGCAAAACTTCCTACAGCAGATGTTTATCTGACAGTGCTGTAGCTAAATTTAAGGAGGAGATTCCCTTCAGTGTTTAATTCAATGCCATGTCTGAATTTAACAGAGTCCTATAACGACTTAAGTCCCTCTGAAATTGATAATCTTGTCGATAGTGCTACAGGCTCACTACGGTCAACATTAGACTCTATCGCTCCTATAAAAAGGAAATTATTAAAACATAGGAGACTAGCACCTTGGTATAACCACCAAACCCGCCAGTTAAAACAAATAGCTAGGAAATCTGAAAGGAAATGGCGCTCTTCCAAATGATCAGAATATCGCTTAAATTGGCAAGATAATCTTAAAACCTATAGAAAGGCCCTCCGTAATGCCAGAGGAGCCTATTATTCAGCACTAATAGAAGAAAATAAGAATAACCCTAGGTTCCTCTTCAGCACTGTAGCCAGGCTGACAGAGAGTCACAGCTCTATTGAGCCACATATCCCCATAAACTTAAGTAGCAATGACTTCATGAGCTTCTTCTATAATAAAATTATCACTATTAGAAAAAAAATTAATCACCAACTGCCATCAACAGTTATCAGTGGCTCTCCAAGTTCAGGGACTTCTGCCAATGTAAACTTAGATATATATTTAGACTGTTTTCTGCTATCGATCTTCATCAGTTAACTTCAATCATTTCTTCATCGAAGCCATCAACCTGTCTATTAGACCCGATCCCAACTAGGCTGCTTAAAGAAGTTGTTCCCTTAATTGGCACTTCTTTACTGGATATGATTAATCTTTCTTTATTATCAGGATATGTACCACAGTCCTTTAAAGTAGCTGTAATTAAACCCCTTCTTAAAAAGCCCACTCTTCATGGTCAGGCCCCTTCATATCTTAAAGAGCTCATAGTACCCTATTACCCCACTAGAACACTGCGTTCTCTGAATGCTGGGCTACTTGTGGTTCCTATAGTCTCTAAAAAGTAGAACAGGAGCCAGAGCCTTCAGTTACCAAGCTCCTCTCCTGTGGAACCAGCTTCCAGTTGTGGTTCAGGAGGCAGACACCCTCTCCACATTCAAGAGTAGGCTTAAGACATTCCTCTTTGATAAAGCTTATAGTTAGGGCTGGATCAGGTGAGTCCTGAACCATCCCTTAGTTATGCTGCTATAGGCCTAGACTATCGGGGGATTTCCCATGGTGCACTGAGCTCCTCCCTTCCTCTCTCTTTCTGCACTCATTCATGTTCCATTAATGCATGTTACTAACTTCACTTCTTCCCCGGAGTTCTTGTGCTTTCTCGTCTCGCAGGTTCTCAGGGATCCTGGTGGAGCCTCCTGCCATGGTCCTGCTTGACTGCCATTGCCAATCGTGTTGTTGCTGTGCACCTGTCTGTCTGTCTGTCTGTCTCTCGCTCTCTCTCTCTCTCTCTCTCTCACCCCAACTGGTCGAGACAGACGACCACCCACCTAGAGCCGGAGGATCTGTCCTAGGTTTCTGCCTTTTAACAGGCAGTGTTTCCTTGCCCTTGTCTCCAAGGTCTTGCTCATGGTGGTACTGTTGGGTCTCTGTAATTAATGTTTTAAAGAGTTCGGTCTAGACCTGCTCTATTTGAAAAGTGTCCTGAGATAACTTCTGTTATGAATTGGCGCTATACAAATAAAATTGAGTTGAATTGAATATGTAATCAATATACAGTCAATACATAATCAATATACAATCAATAATCAGAGGATTTTTTTCAATAAAGTTCACACATGAGGTTTTAAAGTGTTAACATTTATTTTGAAGGTCTCCAGACTTCCTGTAACAGTGTTTATAAATCTGTTTGTTTCAGAGAAGAAGAGGTTCAGTCGAGGAGAGCGAGACTTCATGACGAGGATGACTCGTCCTCTACAGCTCACCTGTCTGCACATCAACACCCACTGATCTCACCTGTACACTGACAGGAAGTCAGCAACAGGAAGAGGCGGAGCCAGCTCACCTGCACTTCAGTTTTAATGTTTAATGTTGATATAAGTTATTAAATCTTCTTTTATTTCACACCACACACTGTTGTCATGGCAACATCACAGTCCCTCATAAACCTGAGTCAGGTAATATTATAATAATCATCAAAAATAAATAATAAATTACAGAAGCAGCAGGTATTGATTTATTTCAATAAAACCATTTATTATTATTAAAATAAATAAATAATGAATTAATTAAACTCTATTTTATATTATTATATCACAGAGCTGCAGTGTGATATAATAACAGAATATTATTTATTTATTGATCTGTGGTTTATAATATGTGTAATGATGATGAACAACCAGCAGGGGGCGTTTCACTGCTGCTGAGCATCAACGCTCTGCTGCCTAGCAACAGATGACACAGTGAGCAGCTGCTTTTAATTGGCTGACTTATTAACATTAATAATAATATTAAGACACTTTATTTCTATATTTAGTTTATTATTTGCTTTCAGTAAATTATTTTAAAATATTTGTGTTGAATTTATGAAACATTATAAATAAAGTAAACAAACAGTTTGAACTGATTTTAGTTTTTAATAGTCTTTATATGTATTGGTGATATTTTAGTGGGATTTCAGTTGTAAATATATTATGGTCTGTATTGTTATTGTTGATCTGATATTGATCCAGTAGGGGGCGTCTGAGCTCCTCCTCTCTCTCTGCTGTTCAACAACCACCTGCTGCTCCAGGTAACTGATGAGTCATCAGCAGCTCTGTCTCTGATTGGCTGCTGACGAACAGGAAGTGAAAGTAAAGAGTGGGGACTTTCCAGAGACGCTGCGTTCAGGCGTCTGATGGTAAAAAACAGAGAACTAAACAACAAAGTGCTGAACAGAGACGCTGCTGACTCACTCAACCACAGTTTGATTCTGCTGCTGATGTTAGTGCTGTTGTTTGTCCCATCTGGTCCAGAGGGACATTATCCAGCAGGGCCCCTATCGGCTCTCTTCCTCTCCTCTTGGGGCCACAGCACCCACTGTGGGGCTCTGGTCAAAGTCTACGAAGGAGTGAGCGTACCGACGGCAGCAGCTGATCCCTCATCAGACCTATATGAAAGATAAACTACACATTCAAACTAACATGTAGCAGGTTTGAAGGAGCTGCCAGTCGTTGCCAATCAGTTGATCTCTGCATCTTTAAACGACAGCCAATATCACACTGCGTCTTTAAACTACAGCCAATATCACACTGCGTCTTTAAAGACTTTAAACTACAGCCAATATCACACTGCGTCTTTAAAGACTTTAAACTACAGCCAATATCACACTGCGTCTTTAAAGACTTTAAACTACAGCCAATATCACACTGCGTCTTTAAACTACAGCCACTATTACACTGCGTCTTTAAACTACAGCCACTATTACACTGCGTCTTTAAAGACTTTAAACTACAGCCAATATCACACTGCGTCTTTAACCCTTTAAACTACAGCCACTATTACACTGCGTCTTTAAAGTACAGCCACTATTACACTGCGTCTTTAACCCTTTAAACTACAGCCAATATCACACTGCGTCTTTAAACTACAGCCAATATCACACTGCGTCTTTAAACTACAGCCAATATCACACTGCGTCTTTAAACTACAGCCAATATCACACTGCATCTTTAAAGACTTTAAACTGTGTTCTCTGTGTCTCGGTGTTCTCGGTGGGTCTGTCGTCCAGTTGTGTTCACAGCTTTATTGTTTGTTTCACATGAACTCCTGAAGCTTTCAGTGAGGGGACGGCACTCCTTCAGACTGCGTTTGGTAAAGCCACTGAGGAGCTCCGTCTCTTCCTCCTAAATACTGTAACTGCTGTGTGGCCTGCCAGCGTTACTGTGATGTGAAGAGCGCGAGCAGCATTCAGTAATACGGGTAGTTCGAAGTGCTGGGCAACTTGTGGTTCCTATAGTCTCTAAAAGTAGAACAGGAGCCAGAGCCTTCAGTTACCAAGCTCCTCTCCTGTGGAACCAGCTTCCAGTTGTGGTTCTGGAGGCAGACACCCTCACCACATTCAAGAGTAGGCTTAAGACATTCCTCTTTGATAAAGCTTATAGTTAGGGCTGGATCAGGTGAGTCCTGAACCATCCCTTAGTTATGCTGCTATAGGCCTAGACTATCGGGGGATTCCCATGGTGCACTGAGCTCCTCTCTTCCTCTCTCTTTCTGCACTCATTCATGTTCCATTAATGCATGTTACTAACTTCACTTCTTCCCCGGAGTTCTTGTGCTTTCTCGTCTCACAGGTTCTTATGGATCCTGGTGGAGCCTCCTGCCATGATCCTGCTAGACTGCCATTACCAATTGTAACCCACATAACAGAGTGAGTTCCAGAATGAGAGAAGAAGGAAAAAATTAATTAGAGACTATTGTCAATTTATTTTCACTCAGAGTAATGAGTATCACCTAAATAAGAGGATCTTTGATATCTGTGAAGAGATTGACAAGCCAGTGTTGACCAATCAGTGACTTGGATGCAGAGAGTTCCCGCCGTCTGTATGAAGAGAGGAGCGAGAGTGAGCGGCCGATATTGAGAAGAGAGACGAAAGATTGGACGGCAAAAACTGAAGAAAACCCGAAAACATATGGTTTACTCTTCGTTTACGGAAGTCCGTTGTTGTTTTAGTGAAGTACTAGTGAAAGAACTAGTGTTAAAACGGGCATTAGCACAGTCGCTAGCCGCAGCGCTAGTAGCTCGAGCTAATAGCCGTTAGCTTTGACTGTGTCTCCTTCGCGCGCTTTGTCCGTACTTTGTCCGTACATTGTCCGTGCTTTGTCCGTACATTGTCCGTACTTTGTCCGTGCTTTGTCTGTACATTGTCCCTGCTTTGTCCGTGCTTTGTCCGTACATTGTCCGTACATTGTCCTTACTTTGTCCGTGCTTTGTCCTTACTTTGTCCGTGCTTTGTCTGTACATTGTCCGTGCTTTGTCTGTACATTGTCCGTGCTTTGTCTGTACATTGTCCCTGCTTTGTCCCTACATTGTCCGTGCTTTGTCCGTGCTTTGTCTGTACTTTGTCCGTACTTTGTCCGTGCATTGTCCCTGCTTTGTCCGTACATTGTCCGTGCTTTGTCTGTACATTGTCCGTGCTTTGTCGTACTCTGTCCGTACTTTGTCCGTACATTGTCCGTACATTGTCCCTGCTTTGTCTGTACATTGTCCCTGCTTTGACCGTACATTGTCCGTACTTTGTCCGTGCTTTGTCTGTACATTGTCCGTGCTTTGTCCGTGCTTTGTCCGTACATTGTCCGTGCTTTGTCCGTGCTTTGTCTGTACATTGTCCGTGCTTTGTCCGTACATTGTCCGTGCTTTGTCTGTACATTGTCCGTGCTTTGTCCGTGCTTTGTCCGTACTTTGTCCGTACATTGTCCGTACATTGTCCCTGCTTTGTCTGTACATTGTCCCTGCTTTGTCTGTACATTGTCCCTGCTGTGTCCCTGCTTTGACCGTACATTGTCCGTACTTTGTCCGTGCTTTGTCTGTACATTGTCCCTGCTTTGTCCGTGCTTTGTCCGTGCTTTGTCCGTACTTTGTCCGTGCTTTGTCCGTACATTGTCCGTGCTTTGTCCGTGCTTTGTCTGTACATTGTCCCTGCTTTGTCCGTACATTGTCCGTACTTTGTCCGTGCTTTGTCTGTACATTGTCCCTGCTTTGTCCGTGCTTTGTCCGTACTTTGTCCGTGCTTTGTCCGTACTTTGTCCGTGCTTTGTCCGTACTTTGTCCGTACTCTGTCCGTACATTGTCCGTACATTGTCCTTACTTTGTCCGTGCTTTGTCCGTACTTTGTCCGTACTTTGTCCGTACATTGTCCGTGCTTTGTCTGTACATTGTCCGTGCTTTGTCCGTGCTTTGTCCGTACATTGTCTGTACTTTGTCCGTACTCTGTCCGTACATTGTCCGTACATTGTCCTTACTTTGTCCGTGCTTTGTCTGTACATTGTCCCTGCTTTGTCCGTACATTGTCCCTGCTTTGTCTGTACATTGTCTCTGCTTTGTCTGTTCATTGTCCCTGCTTTGTCCCTGCTTTGTCCGTACTTTGTCCGTGCTTTGTCTGTACATTGTCCCTGCTTTGTCCGTACTTTGTCCGTACTTTGTCCGTGCTTTGTCCGTGCATTGTCCGTGCATTGTCCGTACATTGTCCGTGCTTTGTCTGTACATTGTCCCTGCTTTGTCCGTGCTTTGTCCGTACTTTGTCCGTACTTTGTCCGTGCTTTGTCCGTACATTGTCCGTACTCTGTCCGTACTCTGTCCGTACTCTGTCCGTACATTGTCCGTACATTGTCCTTACCTTGTCCGTGCTTTGTCTGTACATTGTCCGTGCTTTGTCCGTGCTTTGTCTGTACATTGTCCGTGCTTTGTCCGTACTTTGTCCGTACATTGTCCGTACATTGTCCCTGCTTTGTCCGTACATTGTCCGTACATTGTCCGTGTTTTGTCCGTGCATTGTCCGTACATTGTCCGTGCTTTGTCCGTACATTGTCCGTGCTTTGTCCGTGCTTTGTCCGTACATTGTCCGTGCTTTGTCCGTGCATTGTCCGTACATTGTCCCTGCTTTGTCCGTGCTTTGTCCGTGCTTTGTCCGTGCTTTGTCCGTACATTGTCCCTGCTTTGTCCGTGCTTTGTCCGTACATTGTCCGTGCTTTGTCCGTGCTTTGTCCGTACTTTGTCCGTACTTTGTCCGTACAGCTCCGAGGAGCAGGTAAATTACCCAACTAAAAGATCTTATTATATCTTTATTATAATTCATTTATGGCGAGAGCTAATTATTCATGAGTTTTATATTAAGTATTTGTACCCTTGTTATATTTTTTGGTTTTAGAAACTGTGTGGTTGTTTCTGAGCGCCGCCATTTTGTGTCAGTGCGGCCATCCTGTAACGTGAGATCGGTGAGAAATTCATATTTCTTTCCAAATTAGTTTTCTAATCTAACTTCTGTATTAATTTGTCATTTGTACCTTCATTGGGCTAATTTTATGGTCCGTGTATGTTTTGGTCATTGGATGTTCCTTTCAGAAACGGGTATTAAAAACAGAAAACGAGTGGTTATTTGATTTTCGTTTTAAAATACAAAAATTAAAATTGAAATACAAGGTGTTTTTCTTTTTCATGGTCAAAAAGGGATGAGCGAAATTTTAAAAATTATTAGATTTTCATTTTCTATTTCATATAACAAAAAAATAAAATCACTAGAAAACAGAAACAGAAAAAAGGCCTGTTGTTTCATATTCTGAGACCGGATGTTGTCATTAACAGGACGGTGCTGTGGAGAAGAAACAGTAGACTAGTAGACTGCGGTCAATCCAGCCGTGAGTCCGATCTCCGTGGTCAAATCAGCCGCACTTAAAGTTAGTGTACAAGTATTCTCAGCATTATGGTAAATGCGGAGAAACAGCATATTTACTTCCGGTTTTCAAAATAAAGGTATTTAGAGCCGTAAGCTATAATTAAAATATGTTACATTAAAGTGTTTCATGCGCCCCTGATGAATAAAAAAACACTTTATATCAAGTATCTTTACTGCACCAGTGTGGAGAAATGCCAAAATAAAAGTCTCATATTTATGCCTCCAGAGATTGCATATTTGACCATATTTGAGGTACTGTAAAAACATATTGCTCAGTGTTTCCTGGCTACTGATGGTATATTTGACTTTTACACATATGAGACTACAAACATACTTAATATCAAGCATTTTTACTGTACCAATGTGGAGAAATTGAAGAATAAAAGTCCATATTTGTACCTCCATGTGGCATATTTTCATATATTTGAGCTACTGTAAAAACACTTTGCTCAGTAATTCCTGGCTATGGGTGATATATTTGACTTCTACACATCTAAGACTACAAGTATACTTAATATCAAGCATTTTTACTGTACCAATGTGGAGAAATTGAAGAATAAAAGTCCCATATTTATACTTCCAGATTCCATATTTTCTTATATTTGAGCTACTGTAAAAATGTAAACTGTATGTGGAACCACCTGCAACAGCTGTCACACTGAATAATATAAAAAAATAATATGTGAGGAAGAGACAGTAGGTACAATGGTGTTTTGAAGTTAAAACTAATTATTTTTCCCTTTTACCTACAAATGGACACAGCAGAGCAGCAAAATAAGAAGAATGTGGACTGGCATTGCATTTTGTGTAAAAAGTAAACAAATTAGAATTGTGTAGGATTTTGTGTTGGAAAGCCTGGAAATATTGAGCAATATGTTTTTACAGTAGCTCAAAAATATAAGAAAATATGGAATCTGGAGGTACAAATATGGACTTTTATTATTGAATTTCTCCAAATTGGTACAGTAAAAATACCCTCAGTAGCCAGGAAACACTGAGCAATAGTACCTCAAATACGGTCAAATATGCAATGTCTGGAGGCATAAATATGAGACTTTTATTTTGGCATTTCTCCACACTGGTGCAGTAAAGATACTTGATATAAAGTGTTTTTTTATTCATCAGGGGCGCATGAAACACTTTAATGTAACATATTTTAATTATAGCTTACGGCTCTAAATACCTTTATTTTGAAAACCGGAAGTAAATACGCTGTTTCTCCGCATTTACCATAATGCTGAGAATACTTGTACGCTCTAAATTTAAGTGCGGCTGATTTGACCACGGAGATCGGACTCACGGCTGGATTGACCGCAGTCTACTAGCCTACTGTTTCTTCTCCACAGCACCGTCCTGTAAATGACAACATCCGGTCTCAGAATATGAAACAACAGGCCTTTTTTCTGTTTCTGTTTTCTAGTGATTTTATTTTTTGTTATATGAAATAGAAAATGAAAATCTAATAATTTTTAAAATTTCGCTCATCCCTTTTTGACCATGAAAAGAAAAACACCTTGTATTTCAATTTTAATTTTTGTATTTTAAAACGAAAATCAAATAACCACTCGTTTTCTGTTTTTAATACCCGTTTCTGAAAGGAACATCCAATGACCAAAACATACACGGACCTTTTATGCACTTATTTGCTTACTTGTTGCTGTGAGAAGCTATTTTATTTACAAAAAGGGAAGTTATTTTACATTATGGATTATCCATATTGACTATTATATTGTGCTGTTGCAAATTTGTTTTTTATATGCAGTTAATGTTAAAATGAAAGGTTACAGGACCTAGCAAAGTGGAAAGCTTACACTGTGATTTTAATATTTTGTGTGTAATGGACACTGTCTGTCGACAGGTCAGGGTTTTTTTTGGTTGTTTGTTCTCTGGATTTGGATCTTCCAGCGACGTTGATGGCGAGCCTTCCCACCTGGATCAAAAGTGAAAGTGAAACAGTATCACCAGATACTACCAGTGGCTTCTTGAACGTATCCTAATTCTGCCACACCCTGTGGGTGGTAGGCCGACTGCTGCAAAACATTCTCACATTCAGCCCCCCCAGATCAACACACACACACACACACACACACACATTCCCCCTTATGACTCTGACTTGACTTTTGACTTTTTGACTTCATCGTGTGGAACTGAGAACTGAGTGGCAGGATATTTTCCTGAAGAGTATTGGTTGGATGCAAAATTGATTGTTCTTTTGGCCATGTTATATAATTGAATTTGATTTAGATAGAGAATTGTACAAAAGTAATCTTAAATTCAGTTTAGAATTAAGATTTTGATAATTAATGTGAAACTGAGCAATTGCAAATGTGATACTTTTTTTTTGTGATTTAATACAACCAGTGTTATCAGTGTGAGTGGTCCCATTGTTTGTGATTTTGTATGTATTATTATTTTCTTTAATACAAAAAGCCGGCATGTTCCTAAGTTCAACCTCTTGCCTCTGAGCTTAATTTAAGCATTTCACTGTGCTCCAGCAGTCGAACCTACTGGTCCATTATCTAGAGTAGTATTACCACCTATTATTGTTTAAAGGGGTGTTACACAATACTGTTGTTGCTGTGCACCTGTCTGTCTGTCTCTCTGTGTCTCTCTCTCTCTGTCTCTCTGCCTCTCTCTCTCTCTCACCCCAGCTGGTCGAGGCAGACGACCACCCATCTAGAGCCGGAGGATCTGTCCTAGGTTTCTGCCTTTTAACAGGCAGTGTTTCCTTGCCCTTGTCTCCAAGGTCTTGCTCATGGTGGTACTGTTGGGTCTCTGTAATTAATGTTAAGGAGTTTGGTCTAGACCTGCTCTATTTGAAAAGTGTCCTGAGATAACTTCTGTTATGAATTGGTGCTATACAAATAAAATTGAATTGAATTAATAGAGATAAAAGGATTTAATGGTGAGAATCTTTCAGACGTTCAAACGTTATTGGACCGAATGGATCCAAGCTGACAGTGAAACTCTGTCGGGTAGAGTCAGTGTGCATCATGTGACGAGACACTGCTGTCTTTATGCCGCTCGCCCACTATGTCACATTAAAGGCACACTATGCAAGATTTTTACCTTAATATAACAGCTTCGAAGTCATTTAGATGGTAAACGAACTCGTAGTATAGCGAATCATCCCAATAGCAAAGCTGGAGAGGGACGCCGCTGGCAGAACCAGAAATGCAAGACTGAAAGATGGCGTCCCGCCAAATCTCGTGAGAATCATGAATTGCTTTACGGCGCGACGTCACATATCAGTGACATAAGAAGCAGCCTCAATGGAAGACGTTACCTGGTCAGTTTGTATAAAGAGACGCTTTGGTGAGTGGTATTTACGACAGTTAACGTTAAATACAAGTTCTCCGCAGCGACTCTAGGGGGAGCTGTTTGACAAAACCGGAAAACTGCATAGTATGCCTTTAAAGCCCGGCGCTGATCCTGGGGGGGGTTTGCTGCTGACAGACTTCAGGGGGTCAAAGGTCACCTCCTCCTCCTCTCTGCTGTCCAACAACCACCTGCTGCTCCAGGTAACTGATGAGTCATCAGCAGCTCTGTCTCTGATTGGCTGCTGACGAACAGGAAGTGAAAGTAAAGAGTGGGGACTTTCCTCAGACCTGCTGCTGCGTTCAGGTGCTGCAGGAAAACTCACTCTCCTGTATTAACAGTACCATGGTCAGTGTCAGAGGTGAACATGGTAAAGTCCCGTTGTACAGAGACACCTGAAGGCATCGTGTGGTCAGACTGGTTTTGGTGGAGCAGAAAGAACAAACTGTTCTCACAGGAATCAGAGAAACTGAGTCTGCTTTCTTTCTACTGATTCTTTTATTATTGAAGAACACAGAACTTAAACACACCACACACAATATATGAATATTAAATCATACACTTCCTTCACTCTTACACTCACATGTGTTTCTCTGACTTTTGTCTGATATAATAAAGAATTATTTTCATTTATTATTAATATTAGTTTTATTTGTACATATTTAATTTACGGTTCATGGACTTTATTGTCCCACAATGCATTGCTCAGAGGACAGTGAGCAGCTTCTGGAAAACATTCAAATAAAACATAAACATAAATATTAGTATATTTATATATAATATATATATAATTAGTATATAATACTTTCTTTGTGGCGTTTGCGACTGTTGATGTTATAAAACAGTGATATTGATTTATTGATTTATTGAGGATCATTATCAGTTCAGACTCTTTCACACTCCTGTAGCTCCTCCCTGACTGCAGACTGTGGCTGTGTTGTGGGAATTGTCCTTTATGATGTTGTGGGCCCTCCTGATGACCCTGGTTGTGTAGATGTCCTGTAGTGATGGGAAGGCTGCTCCAGAGTTTTTATTACATGCTGGAGAGCCTTCCTGTCCTGAGCAGTGCAGCTGCCACACTGGCACTGAGCTGATGATGATGCTCTCCACTGTACATCTGTAGAAGTTGCTGTGGATCTTGGTTGACATGCAGAAATGTCCTCAGTCTTCTTAGGAAGTAAAGTCTCTGCTGGGCTTTCTTCAGGAGCTGGTGGGTGTGGTGAGACCAGGTGAGGTCCTTTCTGATTTAAAGGTTTTCACCCTCTCTACCTGTCTCACCGACGTACAGTGGGCGCTGTCTGTCTCTCAGTTGAGCAGCAGACAGATATAAACAGTAAAGAGTCTCTACGTCCTCTAGTGTAAAGTACTCTATTACAGTATAAAGTACTCTATTACAGTATAAAGTACTAATACCACAGTATAAAGTACTCTATTACAGTATAAAGTACTTCATTACAGTATAAAGTACTCCACTACAGTATAAAGTACTCTATTACAGTATAAAGTACTCCACTACAGTATAAAGTACTCTATTACAGTATAAAGTATTCTATTACAGTATAAAGTACTATATACCACAGTATAAAGTACTCTATTACAGTATAAAGTACTCCATTATAGTATAAAGTACTCCACTACCGCATAAAGTACTCTATTACAGTATAAAGTACTAATACCACAATATAAAGTACTCCATTACAGTATAAAGTACTCCACTACAGTATAAAGTACTCTTTTACAGTATAAAGTACTAATACCACAGTATAAAGTACTCCATTACAGTATAAAGTACTAATACCACAGTATAAAGTACTCCATTACAGTATAAAGTACTAATACCACAGTATAAAGTACTCCATTACAGTATAAAGTACTCTCTTACAGTATAAAGTACTCCACTACAGTATAAAGTATTCCATTACAGTATGAAGTACTCCACTACAGTATAAAGTACTCCATTACAGTAACAGTACTAATACCTCAGTATAAAGTACTCCACTACAGTAACAGTACTCCACTATAGTAAAAGGTAGTCCACTACAGTATAAAGTACTAATACCTGAGTATAAAGTACTCAACTACAGTAAAAGGTACTCCACTACAGTATAAAGTACTCCATTACAGTAACAGTACTAATACCGCATTATACAGTACTCCATTACAGTATAAAGTACTCTATTACAATATGAAATACTCCATTACAGTATAAAGTACTCCACTACAGTATAAAGTACTCCAATACAGTATAAAGTACTCCAGTACAGTAACAGTACTAATACCTTAGTGTACAGTACTCCATTACAGTATAAAGTACTCTATTACAGTATAAAGTACTCCATTACAGTATAAAGTACTCCACTACAGTATAAAGTACTCCATTACAGTATAAAGTACTAATACCACAGTATAAAGTACTCCATTACAGTATAAAGTACTCTATTACAGTATAAAGTACTCCACTACAGTATAAAGTACTCTATTACAGTATAAAGTACTAATACAGCAGTATAAAGTACTCCATTACAGTATAAAGTACTCTATTACAGTATAAAGTACTCCACTACAGTATAAAGTACTCTATTACAGTATAAAGTACTCTATTACAGTATAAAGTACTCCATTACAGTATAATGTACTCCACTACAGTATAAAGTACTCCATTACAGTATAAAGTACTCCACTACAGTATAAAGTACTCCATTACAGTATAAAGTACTCCACTAGAGTAACAGTATTCCATTACAGTATAAAGTACTCCACTACAGTATAAAGTACTCCATTACAGTATAAAGTACTCTATTACAGTATAAAGTATTCCATTACAGTATAATGTACTCCACTACAGTATAAAGTACTCCATTACAGTATAAAAAGTACTCCATTACAGTATAAAGTACTAATACCACAGTATAAAGTACTCTATTACAGTATAAAGTACTAATACCTCAGTATAAAGTACTCCACTACAGTATAAAGTACTCCATTACAGTAACAGTACTCTATTACAGTATAAAGTACTCCACTACAGTATAAAGTACTAATACCTCAGTATAAAGTACTCTATTACAGTAACAGTACTCTATTACAGTATAAAGTACTCCACTACAGTATAAAGTACTCAATTACAGTATAAAGTACTAATACCTCAGTATAAAGTACTCAATTACAGTATAAAGTACTAATACCTCAGTATAAAGTACTCCACTACAGTATAAAGTACTCTATTACAGTATAAAGTACTAATACCTCAGTATAAAGTACTCAATTACAGTATAAAGTACTCTAATTCAGTATAAAGTACTCCACTACAGTATAAAGTACTCCATTACAGTATAAAGTACTCTACTACAGTATAAAGTACTCCACTACAGTATAAAGTACTCCATTACAGTATAAAGTACTCTATTACAGTATAAAGTACTCTATTACAGTATAAAGTACTAATACCTCAGTATAAAGTACTCCATTACAGTATACAGTACTCTATTACAGTATAAAGTACTCCACTACAGTATAAAGTACTCCATTACAGTATAAAGTACTAATACCACAGTATAAAGTACTCCATTACAGTATAAAGTACTCCACTACAGTATAAAGTACTCTTTTACAGTAACAGTACTAATACCACAGTATAAATACTCCATTACAGTATAAAGTACTCCACTACAGTATAAAGTACTCCATTACAGTAACAGTACTAATACCACAGTATAAATACTCCATTACAATATAAAGTACTCCACTACAGTATAAAGTACTCCATTACAGTATAAAGTACTCTAATACAGTATAAAGTACTCATTACAGTATAAAGTACTCCATTACAGTAAAAAGTACTCCATTAAAGTACAGTATAAAGTACTCCATTACAGTAACAGTACTAATACCACAGTATGAAATACTCCACTACAGTATAAAGTACTCCATTACAGTAACAGTACTAATACCACAGTATGAAGTACTCCACTACAGTATAAAGTACTCTATTACAGTATAAAGTAGTCAATTACAGTATAAAGTACTCCATTACAGTATGAAGTTCTCCACTACAGTATAAAGTACTCATTACAGTATAAAGTACTCCATTACAGTATAAAGTACTCCACTATAGTATAAAGTAATCCATTACAGTATAAAGCACTCTATTACAGTATAAAGTACTAATACCTCAGTATAAAGTACTCTATTACAGTATAAAGTACTAATACCTCAGTATAAAGTACTCTATTACAGTATAAAGTACTCCATTACAGTATAAAGTAATCTATTACAGTAACAGACTTTATTAATAATAATTATTATTATAAATTAGTTTTAAAACTTTATTTTGAAAATCCCTCAGTATTAGAAGCAGTTTCATATTAAACTGTCCAACAATAACTTTATTGTGAAAGGACTTACTCATTGGTTATTGACAATATATTATTGGTTATTGACAATATATTATTGGTTATTGGTAATATATTATTGGTTATTGGTAATAAATTATTAGTTATTGATAATATATTACTGATAATATATTATTAGTATGATTATTGATTATCAGGAAGATCTCCAGCTGTCAGCAGCAGTCTGTCTCTACCTGGTTACTGATGACATCATATGATCTCTGCTCTCTGATTGGCTGTTAGAGAGTCTCTGTCAGTCCTCAGACCAGTTCACAGTCTCAGACTGGTTCAGGTCTACAGAGAGACAGACGGGTTCAGGTCTACAGAGAGTCAGACGGGTTCAGGTCTACAGAGAGTCAGACGGGTTCAGGACTACGGAGAGTCAGACGGGTCTACAGAGAGTCAGACGGGTTCAGGACTACGGAGAGTCAGACGGGTCTACGGAGAGTCAGACTGGTTCAGGTCTACAGAGAGTCAGACGGGTTTAGGTCTACGGAGAGTCAGACTGGTTCAGGTCTACAGAGAGTCAGACGGGTTCAGAGAGACAGACTGGTTCAGGTCTACAGACAGTCAGACGGGTTCAGAGAGACAGACTGGTTCAGGTCTACAGAGAGACAGACGGGTTCAGAGAGTCAGACGGGTTCAGGTCTACAGAGAGTCAGACGGGTTCAGAGAGTCAGACGGGGTTCAGGACTACAGACGGGTTCAGGACTACAGAGAGTCAGACGGGTTCAGGTCTACGGAGAGTCAGACGGGTTCAGGACTACAGAGAGTCAGACGGGTTCAGAGAGTCAGACTGGTTCAGGACTACAGAGAGTCAGACAGGTTCAGGACTACAGAGAGTCAGACAGGTTCAGAGAGTCAGACGGGTTCAGGACTACAGAGAGTCAGACGGGGTTCAGAGAGTCAGACCGGTTCAGAGAGTCAGACGGGTTCAGGACTACAGAGAGTCAGACGGGTTCAGGTCTACAGAGAGCTGATGATGATGATGAGGATGATGGTTCTGGTTCTCTGGTTCTCCTGTGTGTCTGCTGACGGTAAGTTTCTGACAGACAGACAGACAGACAGTAACAGACAGACACACAGACAGACAGACAGTAACAGACAGACAGACATACAGACAGACAGTAACAGACAGACAGTAACAGACAGACACACAGACAGACAGACAGTAACAGACAGACAGACATACAGACAGACAGTAACAGACAGACAGTAACAGACAGACAGACAGACAGTAACAGACAGACAGACAGACAGACAGTAACAGACAGACAGTAACAGACAGACAGACAGTAACAGACAGATCAATCAATCAATCAATCAATCAATCAATGATCTGTTTCTATCTTCAGTTCTTCATGAGGACATTGCTATCAATGGCTGTTCAGACTCTGATGGAGAGGTGATGTACTCTCTGGATGGTGAAGAGATGTGGTACGCAGACTTCATCAACAAGAAAGGAGTGGAGCCTCAACCCAACTTCATAGATCATATGAGCTACGTGGAAGGAACTTATGAAACTGCTGTGGCTAATCAACAGGTCTGCAGACAGAACCTGGAAATAAGACGTAAATCCATCAAAGACCCACTGAAGTTCGGTAAAGACAAACTTTATTATTCTGTCTTTAAATATTGAATCAGTCAGTAATAATATAACTCATTACTGTAGAATACATTAATATATATATTTATAATCAGTCTGTCCTACTTATATATATATATATATATAAGGAGGACAGACTGATTATAAATATATATATATATAAATATACAGTATCTCACAAAAGTGAGTACACCCCTCACATTTCTGCAAATATTTCATTATATCTTTTGATGGGACAACAGTGAAGAAATGTAAAGTCGTCAGTGTACAGCTTGTATAACAGTGTAAATTTACTGTCCCCTCAAAATAACACAACACACGTCCATTAATGTCTAAACCGCTAGCAACAAAAGTGAGTACACCCCTAAGCGGAAATGTCCAAACTGGGTCCAAAGTGTCAATATTTTTTGTGGCCACCATTATTTCCCAGCACTGCTTTAACCCTGTTGGAGTTCACCAGAGCTTCACAGGTTGCCATGATGACGGCATCACAGAGCTGGTGGATATTAGAGACCTTGCGCTCCTCCACCTTCCGTTTGAGGATGCCCCACAGATGCTCAATAGGGTTTAGGCGAGGGATGTTCTGACCCGGTCCTGTTAAAGCGCTCTATGGTCTCTGCCACGGTGCTACAGCTCAGTTTCAGGGTGGTGGTAATCTTCTTATAGGCCATGTTTATGTAGAGCAACAAGTCTTTTATTCTGATCCTCAGAGAGTTCCAGTCCATGTTGAACTTCCAGTGAGCAGTATGAGAGAGTGGGAGAGCGATAACACCACATTTAACCCCCCACTCCCCATTCACACCTGAGACCCTCAACACTAACGAGTCACATGACACCGGAGAGGGAAAGCGGCTAATTGGGCAAAATATTTCAGGAGTTTTTTTATTTTAACTCTTCCTTTATTTTAGTGTGTTTTCCTTTTAGGTCCTGTTAGGAATTTGGACATGGAAACACGGAAATTCCTAATTTGTATAGAACCAGATATTAGGTGACTTTAATTAACAAACAAATAAATACTGTCTGTTTCTGTACAGATCCTCCTTCCAGTCCGGTGATCTACACCAGAGACAACGTGGAGCTCGGAGAGAAGAACACCCTCATCTGTCATGTGACTGGTTTCTATCCTGCTCCTGTAAAGGTCTACTGGACCAAGAACGGAAAGAACGTGACTGAAGGAACCAGCATCAATGTTCCCTACCCCAACAAAGATGGTTCCTTCACCCAGACGTCCAGACTGGAGTTCATCCCACAGCTGGGAGACATGTACAGCTGTTCAGTGAAACATCTGTCTCTGAAAGACCCACTGACCCGATTCTGGGGTGAGACAACTTTATTGAAATTCACTCAAAATACAAACAGACACTTTACTAACTGACCATGGTACACATCTGTCTCCAGATGTGGAGGTGTAGCTGCAGTGTGTTAATGTTTCTGTCTCCAGATGTGGAGGTGTAGCTGCATTAATGTTTCTGTCTCCAGATGTGGAGGTGCAGCTGCACTGTGTTAATGTTTCTGTCTCCAGATGTGGAGGTGTAGCTGCATTAATGTTTCTGTCTCCAGATGTGGAGGTGCAGCAGCAGTGAATTAATGTTTGTCTTTCTGTCTCCAGATGTGGACGTGTAGCTGCATTAATGTTTCTGTCTCCAGATGTGGAGGTGTAACTGCATTAATGTTTGTGTCTTTCTGTCTCCAGATGTGGAGAAGCCTGAACCCAGTATTGGACCTGCAGTGTGTTAATGTTTGTGTCTTTCTGTCTCCAGATGTGGAGAAGCCTGAACCCAGTATTGGACCTGCAGTGTGTTAATGTTTGTGTCTTTCTGTCTCCAGATGTGGAGAAGCCTGAACCCAGTATTGGACCTGCAGTGTGTTAATGTGTCTGTCTTTCTGTCTCCAGATGTGGAGAAGCCTGAACCCAGTATTGGACCTGCAGTGTGTTAATGTTTGTGTCTTTCTGTCTCCAGATGTGGAGAAGCCTGAACCCAGTATTGGACCTGCAGTGTTCTGTGGACTCGGTCTGACTGTCGGTCTGCTCGGTGTCGCTGCTGGAACCTTCTTCCTCATCAAAGGAAACGAGTGCAGCTGATTGGTTGGGGCTGATGATGTCATATAAGGGGCTTTTTCTAAGGATCAGGTTTTCTGAGTTTTCTGGATCACATCTGTATTTTCTGATAACGTCAGTGTCAGCAGCTGTTCTGTGATCAGTTCTGTTCAGATTGAAATTGATTGATCAGGAGGTTACAGACTTTATTGATCAGTAGTCTGATGGATGATGAGTTCACTGTCAGTAGAAACACACAGTAATCAATGAGTTTAATGTCCAACATCAATAATAATAGATCAATAAGTGTGATCTGAAAGCAGGGACAGCCACATTCAGTCAACCTGCTTCGTGTCCAGGCCTCAGGTCTTTAACATATAGTCTTTGCTGTATATTGATTGATTGATTGATCAATAGTGAGTGCTCACATACGTTGATTTACTAACTGCTGTTTGATGATTCACTGCACAGCTTCTGTCCAATAATCACTTTAATCTTCTTTATCTGCCACTGTCTAATGTGATCAATAACCTGATGGAGAATCAATCATTGTATGAATTTACTGTAATAAAGGAATAAACATGAATGTGTCCTGTTGTTGATTATTGATTATTAACAGTATTAAATGAAGCTGACTGAGATTAACCACAGTGAACTACAGAAACACTACAGAGCCTGTGAGGAGGATTCATCCAACCTTTGAACTGTAATCAATGATCTTTATATGATAATCATATTAAAGGGGACATATTATGCTAAATGCACTTTTTTAGTGTTTGTACACATATTTGGGTATTTGGGCCTACCAACCCAGAAACTGGAGAAATCAACTCAATCCTTTTTCTGTGGCTGCTGATATCCGAAGACCTGAACTCCAGCAGCCGTTCAGATTTTGCTCCCCTTTCTACGTCAGAAAGCTACGGTGGCCGATAAGGGTAAACGCACCGCAAATGGCAAAACGCTGCAAACACGGGAATGATGCAAATCCAAAAACACACAAACACATAAAACAAATCCAAGAAAAAAATGCAGCAACAGAAAAATGCTGCAATCACAGAAACGAAGCAGAAGCACAAACTTACAAACCCACAAAAACTCCAAAGACTTAAATTCACTCCACAAAACGGAAGTGTGCCAGGCCACTAGGGGGACCCGACCTGAGGGATGGACCAGTCCTGTGGGACCAGACCCGAAAGACATGAAGAAGAAGAAGAAGAAGAAGAAGAAGAAGAAGAAAAAGAAAAAGAAGAAAGTAGTTTAAGTTTTGAGAGGACAGTAAAAAGGTATGTTTTCCTTTATGTCTTTTTTAAACACTTGGCTGTAATCTTTTATATATAATATAATTATATTATTTAATATTATTATAATATAATTATAATGTTATAATTATATTTTATAATAATATAATATGATAATATTATAAAAGATTACGGCCAAGTGTAAAAAAGACATAAAAGAAAACATACCTTTTACGGAAGCCCTAAAGGGCCATGTATTCATACATTTTATTTCCTCAATTTTCCCGCGATAAAGAGTTAATTTTCTCGAGATCTCGAGATAACGACTGTGATATGATAACTGTGGTCAAGCCAGCTGTTACTATGGTTACTCCAATCTCCGTGGTCAAATCAGCCGCACTTAAATTTACAGTGTATTCACTTCCGGTTTTTCAAAATAAAGGTATTAAGAACAGTAAGCTATAATTCGATCCTACATTTAAAATAAAATATGTTACATTAAAGTGTTTGTGAGGGATGAAGGGATGAGGGATGAAGGGATGAAGGATGGAAGTAGGTCGAGTGATGAGGGGTCAAGGAATGAAGGTCGGTTGGCGGATTGATGAATGGATGGAGGGGTTCGGCGCGATGTAAGAGGGAACAGAGTGGGTTGCGAGACACTGAGTGGGGGAACTGTCTCTTCGTATGTCTTGTAAAGAGCCCCAGTGGTTCCTGTATTTGGATAAGAGAGGGAGAGAAAAAGAAAGGGTTTGGGTGGGAGGGATGTGGGAAATGAGTCAAAGAGGGAGTGAACGGATAAGGTGTGCTTAAGTAAATTTGAGCGGAAATGAGATGATTGCAGGGCGTGGTCTTTTTTCCCTGAACCTAGTAATAAAACATAATTTATGAACCTGAAAATGATCATAATATGTCTCCTTTAAGACAAAGCTACAAATAATTATAATTATTATCATATATTTGATGATAAGTTTAAAGAGCTGAATTTGATCATTAACTGAATAAAAGTAAAGTATTGTTTCTGCTCTCACATTTAAAATAATCTGTGAATGTTTTATATTCAAGGTAAATAAATCTCTAATACAAATATTCAATCTGTATTCAATAATG